AAAAAAAAAAAAAAAAAAAAAAAAAAAAAAAAAAAAAAAAAAAAAAAAAAAAAAAAAAAAAAAAAAAAAAAAAAAATAGCTAGCTAGAAGGCGAGGGCAACAATGAAAAGAGTCGAGGAAAGAGAAAAGGAAAAGGAAAGAAAAGGAAAGGAAAAGAGAAGACGAGAAAAGAAAAGGAAAAGGGGAAAAAAAAAGAAAAGTTTCTTGAGGTGAATCCAACACGAACTTGAAAACGGAAACGTAGTGGTTTCACGGGACTTTGACCGCAGCAACCGCGAGAGACAGACGAGACGAATGCATTCTAGAAATGACTAGGATGCCCAGCAGCCTTGAAAAAAAAAAAAAAAAAAAAAGGAAAGAAGAAGCAGAAGCAAACATTAAGGAAGACGCCAGAGCTGGAGAAGCAATGATGACAGCAATAAAAGCATCATCCCCTGAAAAGGTAGAAAGAGGATTTGATCGACCCCCGCCAACCCCCCTGAAGCAAGAAAAGGACATGAGAACTGAGCATAGCCAGGAGCGGACAAGCAAAGGTCGACAGGAGATTCAAACCAGGAAGGAATATAGAACCACGACGGTTCCGCACTCCCCGATAAATATGGCCCGAGGTCTGCGCGCGCACATTCTACGGAAAGTTTCGATGCACATCCGGACATGATCTGCGTACGGACCCGGCAGCATCGCACAACTGAAAGGGTGGCCCCTTAGAGGTGGACAAGTCAGTCACTGGTCACGACCAGGCAGGCCATTTTCCGCATGACTGGTGCAGCAAAGAATTTCAGGAATGATAACAACAACAACAACAACAACAACAACAACAACAAAGTGGCGATATCAATTCAGCGAGCATGCCAAATAAGGTCTTGGCAGATGGGGAAAAAAAATAAAGCGAAGGAACAAAGAAACTCTTGACAATCAGCACATGAAAGGGCACTGCGTAGGATGTTTTTCAGAAGGGCAACAACGCGAAACGTAAACCCCGAGAATGAAGCACCAAACAGACATTCAAGTTGATTCAACTTGGTTGGACATCGAAGTCGGAAAAGAAAGAATCGTCGCCATGAGAGCGAAAGGGCAGGTACGCGCCTTCCAATGGCAGGGCAAACCAGACACAGAAGCTGACATCAATCACTTAACGCAGTAAGAATGGATGCAACAAAGGAGTCTCAACTGAACAGCATTCTGCACGCTCGAAAAAAATGAAAAAAAAAAAAAAAAAAAAAAAAGCGAGATACAGAGAGAGAGGGTGGTCGTGTGTCTCCGTGTGTGCGTGTGTGTGTGTGTGTGTGTGTGTGAGAGAGAGAGAGAGAGAGAGAGAG